GGACGAGGCGGGAGGGCGGCGAGGACGCAGCCTTCCAGCCTCCCTAGCGCTGCCCCGCTTCCGCCGAGCGCAGGCTTCTCCCGTGTGCCCCCACCGCCGTGTGCTCCTTAATGCTAGGCGAAGGGGAGAAGGTTTTTCTGGTGATGACCCCTGCAGAAGGGACGGTTTGTCTAGAGGGGTATCTCGTAGCGATCCCTGCACTTGCTTTTGGCAGAACGTTTCCTATCCTGCTCCATTAAGTATCCTTGCTTCCCCCTCAACACTCTCTTGCATTAACTTATGCAGTAATTTGCTCTTCAGTGTGATACAGGTTAACTGAAAGTAACTCGCTCCCTTCAGATACTGATGTAGGATTGAGGAAGAGAAGAGATGCAGTCATAGGTCTCAAGCAGTATTAACCCAGGGCTAGTGGGTCAGAGGGTAGGGAGAATGAATTATTTGCTTGATTTCAATTTTAGGCGAAGAGAGCATGGAGTCATGTACAAAAGAAACACTTATTTCTCTCCACGAAGTAAAGGAAGAAAGGGAATATTTGGAGCGGCTATTTCTGTGGGGGCTTGGGTAAGAAGAGAAGTAAAAAATAAAGGGAGAATATCCTACCAGACAGGAGCTTGGGAGGCTGAAGTGCTGTGCCTCTTGGAGGGCAGGGAATTGGAGGAGCCAAGAAAGTTGCAGAGATGCCAGATGGGGGAGAGGTTGTTCACGTTTTGTAAAAGTGTGACTCAGACTTGTATATGGTAGAGGAGAACCAGGACTCATGAAAAGAGATTTTGGAATTTATTTGTTACAGAGTAAACATTACAATTGATTTTCATTGTGATTTTCAGGATTGGAAAGTGATTGATGATAGTGTAAATGGAACGAGTATCTTGAACTGCTGTTCAAGAGTTACTTTTAATTTGGGGTACGTACAGTCTCAGTCTTAAAATAATCTATATCAATAGGGTATTTCAGCCCTGACTTCAAACTTGTAGCTGCTACAATAAGATAAGGCTGACATTTATTTTGTTTACAATATGATGTATTGATACTGTACTTAGTTCATTGGTAGAACCATGTGTAGAACTGAACATATTTCCTTCCTAAAGTGGTAGCAGTGAACGTGAGAATGAGGCCAGCTTTAAGCAATTGTCAACCTTAGCAGCAGAATTAAACCAAATATGTAAAATAAACAATCCAGAATCTTTGTGTTGGATTTTAAAGTTAGGCTACTTGTTTTACCTGCAGATGTCACTGTGTTTAATAGCAATTAATTATAGAAAGGGTCTTGAAGGATGTGAGGTGATTTTAAAAAAATATGAAAAGAGAAGAATTAAATCATTATTCTTAGTCCTTGGCCTCTGAAGCAAAGCATTGGACTTTATATGGTTATTGTGATGTGATGGTTTAGTTAGTCACGGCTGTTGGCATAAACAACTTACATAAGAATGTCCACTTTCAAACTTCCTTTATTTTTGCTTTGAATTAGTTAATGTGGTAGAGTGAAAAGCCTGAAAACATGAATCAAAAAGCACTTGGAAGACTAAAGAAAGGAGATGTAGATGGATATAACCAAGATCTGCTTTCTGAAAGATTCCAGGTGATAAAATGATCTCATGAATTTGACTAACTCAATGATTTGTGAGCACTCAGGATTTACAGACTGAACATGCTGATGTAGAGGAATGTGGCTTTTTCATTAGAGGTGTACTTTGTCTGCTCAAATAATTCAAGAATGTTAATACTTTTTCCATCAATAGCTTCTGCACATTTGCATGTAGAAAGTGCTAAAGTATTTTGTTTAAATACAATACTCTGTATATGCTATGGCAAAAAAAAATTAAGTAATTTTGCTTACTGGTAGTAGATGAGTTTTAAATAATTCCACTTTGAAAAGTTGCAAGTTGCTGTGGAATTAAATGCTAAAAAGCTATGAAAGATTATGGACAGTTACAAGCTGCAGGAGATATTTCTTATGCCTGAAAGTGGGCGTTTTGAATAGTTACAGTAAATGTATTCCATTTCTGAGCAGCCTAATTTATGAAAGCTCTGCCTCCCATTTGTACAAGATTACAAACACGACAAATTACTAAGTGACCAGCCAATGCAGCTGTTAGTGAAAGCCTAGAGAGGATAGACCTGATTAGTTAAACAAGCTGGATCGTTGCCATTTCAAAGGATTCCAAATGAAAAACAACAACATTGTGAAAATAAATTACATGCTTTGAAAGAATGCAGGCAAAGAGATTTAAATGGAAGTAAAAGATTAAGAATGCTTTAAAGAAGCAATGGACTGCATGGTAGAAATAATGCGATAATTTGATAGGTGATGATAATATGATAGAGATTTATGCTAATCCATTTTAGGAAAAACAAAGGCAGATTTACAAGCAATGGGAAGTATCTCTTGGCTCACTATGAACCTGTTCCTACACTTTATAAGTAGTGGATATTTCTGACTTATTTTGAATATTGTATGTGTCAGTTTATCTTTCTCTGTCATAGCTCCGTTTGAGCATGCAGTTCTGTAGCTTCACTCAACGTTTCACACCAGTCCTGTAGTTTCTCAGTGTTCCTTTGAAGCGAGGCCCTATCTTTCAGCATGTCAGCTACTCCTCTGATTTAGTGTGGTACATTCTGTCTCTTCATCCAAGTTAGTGATCCAAGTTGCTGAGCAGTATCAGCCCCAATATCAACCCCAGGGTACTCTTACTAGCCAGCAACTGAAGCAACTTGAAGCCATCAAAGCCTTCAAGTCTGCCCGCCCAGCCAGTTTTCAACCGCTCCAACAGTCCATCTGACCTCAGCTTCCTAACGTGTATGCTGTGGGAGATGGTGTCAAAAGCCACAGGAAAGTCAAGGTATATTGTACCTACTCCTGTCCCCTTCGCTGTGTGACCAGACATTTTGTTGCGTTAGATGTTCTAATTTGTCAAACATAATTTGCAATTTGCCGTTGGTAAATCTGAGTTGAATCTCCCTGATTCCTTTCTTAGCTTTCACACAGGTTCCAAGAGGACAAGCTCTGAGCATTTTTCCAGAGACTGAGATGGTGTTGACTGGACATAGGCATTAGGTGATAGCCGGTTGCCTCACCAGCATGTCACCTGTGCCTGGCAGCAACCTTGAGTGTATCCCATCTGGCTTTGTACGTTTGACTACATCCAGCTTCTCCAAGCAGTTGCTGGCCTCGCTCCTACTTAGCCCTTTCCTTCGTAAACACTACTGGTACAAGCAGAGGTCTGGGTGCAGGCATACTTCTCTGTCATATCTCTGTCTGTGAAAACCGAGGCAAAAAAAGTGTTGAGTACTTCAGCCTTTTCCATATCGTCTGTGAAAAGATTGTTTTCCCCTTCAATAGATGGATGCACATGTTCACTTCTTTGTGATACTTTAGTACTTTTAAAATTCCTTATTGTTATCCTCTAGTTCTGTAGCTGGTTTTAGCTCCAGCTGAGCTTTGGCCATTCTGATTTAATGGAATTAAAGGGTGAAAACAAGCCATGTCAAACAGTGGGTATTTTATTTAACAAATATTTATATGGATTTTTCAGGAGCTGGTGATTCTGAAGACTGCCCAGTCATCATGGCTCATGCTACTATTTATGTGGGTTTTACTGTTCCTCAATTACTGAGAAGTGCTAGCAGAATTTTTCCTGCTCATTCTGCATCGTTGGTGTTGAGGCGCTCTGCTTTTTGTTACTGCACAGTGAATGGGTAGGTTATCTACATACAAGAACTTTTTTTTAAAAAAAAAAAAGAGAATGTCATGGTAACACTGTCAAAATGAAGCTGGCAAATTATTATAGACCTATAAATACTTATTTATCTCCCAATGATATATTTATATTTAATTCTTATTTAGACTTATGTCATCTGTAGTCTGGATTGCACTGGTAAATTGTTGTGTTAATAGAAATTCATATCAGTAAGGGACAGTAGCACCACTGTCAAAATGACAATTACCTTTGTTTGCTTTTTGTTGCAGCACAATAAAATCAAAAAGGAAGATGGATCACCTAGAGAGGACAGCAAATAATTTTCGCCAGGAGGTTAGTGTTCTGTTGTTTAGGATGTAAGTAATTTTCTTTTGGTGTGAAGAAACTGGATAATTGTATTTGATTCTTGGGCTTCGTTTTGTCTTGTACTGGAGTCTGTTTTACTTTTTCTCCTCATTTTTCATATTTGATATTGTTGTAAAATAAGTGTATTTTGTGGTCAGTGGGTGAAATGTAATGAGTTATAAAAATTGTCGGTGACATGTGATGCTGTTTACTTTGGACAAGAAATTTAATAGAATTCTGGTCAAGTAATGAGTTATGATAAGTAATGAAAGCACACCAATACTCATCATTTCTACACAGGCTTCTCAGATATTTATGGATTTCTACAATTCTGGTTCATATCTGAGAATAAAAAAAATGTGGAAAATGTCCTTTTATACCATAGCAGGTAAGATAAGTATAGGCATTTTGAAGAGAGAGATGATGGACAGTTGTAAAAACGATTTTTGTATCTATTTTAATTCACACATACAAGGAAGACAGAGCATTGTTCTCCATCAAAATCCATAAATGCTTATTCTGGATCTCAGTTTTGTGGCGTGAGCATTCTTTTTCATAATATTCAGAGGTGAATGTACTCTTGTATTTCATATGGGTATTTTCTTTCTGTAATTAGCTAAAGTAGATGTTTTGAAATTTTAAAATACTGGGAGAATATTACTTCAATTCTCAAAAGTGTTTCACTAGTGAAACAATTCTGCATTTTTCTTAGACTTTTCAGGAGAAGTGGGGCACTTTTTTGACTGAAAAATCCTATCTTTAATTCTCAGGAATTGGGAAACAGTGCCCAATTTTTCTCCATTGTGTAGTTAGCTTCTCTCACTCCTGAGTAGCCATTCATGATGGGGTAGTCACACAGCAGGACAAACTCTGTGTTTTCAAACACACTGTACAGTTGTTAATGTGCATGTCTGTGCATAATTAAGTCCTTCTCTGCTACGTTTTTCCCTAACCATGAGTATAGTTGAGACTAAGTCACAGGCTACGTGGATTCTTCTCAGAATGAAGCTGAGTAGGGTACAGGGGATATGTCGGTATGTATAGCTTCTCAGGTGGATCCGATTTGTGCCAGACTAATTCAGTACATGGACAGAATGAGTGTAGAGACAGGTACAGACAGATGTACATTCTTTTTTGTTTCTGACAAAAAAATAATTGCACTTTTGAGTTCTGCAGCTATGTTGGTTTTTTTATTTTGGATATTTTTAATTGCTTGGCTTGCTTACTTTTTCTGCTTAACATAAACACTGGGTAGCTGGAAAATACGCAAAAAATGGGTCCTTATGAGGTGTTGGAAGCTCTGAGGTGGGACAGGGAACTGTGTAAGGTCTGAGGAAGAGAAGGATGCTGAATGGGATAGGAGAAAGAGCAGAGCTTACTTCTGCTACTGCAAATTCTCTGCATATCAGAGGATTATGCTGTTTCTTTTTTTAGTGCTTGATTTATTCTTTGTTACTTTATTTCTGACTACTTTAAAATCAGTTTATTTTAAATCCTCTGCTTGGTTTTAAATTCCTTATAATCAGCAGTTGGCTTCCTTCAGTCTGTATTGCCTTATTTGGCCATTTCAGTCCTGCAGAAAGACGAAAGAATCACATTAGTGTGCATGCTACACAGTATTGCCTGTTGAAGAGTGGTAATGGGAAGGATCAGGGCAAGAAAAAGTGCCTAATGCTTTCTTGAAACGCAACAGCGAAGTCCTGTGTTGTCCTCTCTCTTGCTGCAGCCTTGCACTGGGTCAGTTGGATACTCTTGCGATGGTCCAAAATACTGGTTGAATGTCTTTGATCACCCTGACTCAAATTCAGTTTTTGTAATAACTTTATACTGATTAAGAATTACATTTCCAGTGCTCTGTCAGATGTATCAGCCAAAGAACAAATCAGGGAGTGTACTGAAGAGTAAAGAAGGGAATGAAGAAGATCCAAACTTAATGTCCATTTCCTGCACTTAAATGATTGTTCTGATGGAGAAGCCCTAAGTCATGTGTCTGACATATCTCTTGTTAACTTAGAGTGATTGCATTCCCCATTTAATATTGTCTGCTAAAGTGGAAAAGAAATGTATGCTACTTTATTTTAAATTGGCAAATGTCCTGCTGTTTAATTGGACAGTGGACATGTTCAGATGTTGCTTTAGGAATAAATTAATTTCCTGCCATGTGTTTTAAATTAGAGCATAGTTGCTTAAAGTTTAATATTTTTTTTTTATCTCTTTGATCTTATACAAATGAGAAATGATGGAGTTTTGGTGGCATTATTAGTATTTCCTAGTGTGGTAAATGACATCAGCATTTTTTAACAGAGTAAAATCTGTATATTGGTCTGTGTAGAAAATAGTTAGGGCATTACTTTCTTTGTAGAGGAAAAAGATTAATAATTACAACTCCAAAAATACCTGGAAAGGAAAGGCATGGAGGGGAGTAGATGTTAAATTAGTAAGTTGTTTTAAATTAGTAAGTTGTAGTTGCTTTAAGTTTAATATTTTTTTTTTTATCTCTTTGATCCTATACAAATGAGAAATGATGGAGTTTTGGTGGCATTATTAGTATTTCCTAGTGTGGTAAATGACATCAGCATTTTTTAACAGAGTAAAATCTGTATATTGGTCTGTGTAGAAAATAGTTAGGGCATTACTTTCTTTGTAGAGGAAAAAGATTAATAATTACAACTCCAAAAATACCTGGAAAGGAAAGGCATGGAGGGGAGTAGATGAAAATCCATATTGTACTGATGGCCGTCAAAGAGTTTAAGTGGGGAGCTCGTCCCCAATGGTCCTGTTGCAAAATTTGCTTTTCATTTCAAAAAGCATTATTTTTGATATTTATTCCTTTTAAAAAATCTCTTTATCAACTGTGGCTTTTATATCCCCTCCCATCTGGTTGCCAAGCAAAAACTCTTCTGTTAACTAGCAATGAATGCTTGTGTCACAGTTTCCCCGTGTACATAGATCACATATGTGGTCAAATGGGTATGTGTCTAAAAGCAGTAACACAAGGCTTGTTGGTTTTCCTTCCTTAATGCATTATGCATAATCTTTCAGTAATGCATTTAATTACTTAAATAAAACTAGATCCAGATCCAGAATTCTCCCTGGGACTTCAGTAGCAGCTAAGTTTCCTTTGTCAGTCTTCATATCAGAGATCTTTTTACTTTGTTACTGGAAAGGTACAGGAATGCTTGCCTTGTATATGTGTCAAAAGAATCTGAAAAGTGGTAACAAGCAATCACTTCTCTTTATCACTATGTTCTCTTCAACTGAAATAAAAAAAGGTTGTGTATTATCTTAGAATAACCCTGACAAAAGTGATAGACATGGTTTTCTGCTTAAAATCCACCATTTCTCTATTCAGTGACTACGTAAGTGAATCCATTGTTGTTTCTCTACCCCAGTGAAAAAATATTGATGCATTAGGTAACAAAATGTCGCAGATAACATGCAAAGTGATAGATATCTCATACACAGATTCTTGAGTACTCTTGCTGCAAATGATATCTACGTAACGCAATGGCTTATTTTCCTTTTGTTAGGTAATTTCACAAGCAAAAGTGTGTGGAATCACCAATGAATCAGAGACAGTCAAAAGACTTCGTTTGTCTATCGCAAATAAGGATTTTACTTTTAAAGCGGGACAGTGGTAAGATCTTCAGATATTCGAGGGGAAAATTACTAGCAGAAGTCCACTATAACAAAATGATAAAAGGCTTCTGATACTTGAGCCTTGGGGAAAAAACCCATTAATTTATGTAATATGATGCTTTATTATTGGGTGCTCTGTGAAATAGCTGACATTTGGCATAATTTTAAAATAGCCATTATTAAATAAGCTGCTATTATGTTTAAAAGGGCAAAAAATGGATATTCTTTAAATGTTCAGTTTGATTGTTTCAGTATTTTCCTCTGTTTTATGTACATTACATTGTTTCTTCAGGAAGTATACTGCACTTCATTCTGCAAGCTGTCTTTACTGTATTTACTAGTTATTTTTACAGTGGAGCTGAGACTGCTGCTGATTTGCATGTTATTTACTTTTGGTTTATAATTAAATCAGAATTGCCTGTTAACTTTTATTTCTTCCTTTAGAAGTTTCCACTCTGAAAATTAAGCCTGTTAGGTCAGATTAATAGATAAATATAGATAGGCAAACTTGAAAATAAGAAAAACTTGAGTCATTAAGCCTTTAAAATAATTAGCTGTTTCTTTAAGCAACCTTACAGCTTTTTTCCCCAGGGAAATACTGCATTTTCATATTTGTCTTCCTTCCTTGTTAAAAATAATCCCACTCAATCATTTTTTTTTTTTTTCCCCCTCTTAAAAAGTAAGGTGAAACTATGAGTAGTTCCTTTTGGTATTGGTCATTTAAATGTTCTTAAACTTTTTATTGGCTTAGGCCATCTGAAAGTGGTTTTGCTGGAATCAAAGTATAGTTGGTAGGGTATTAGCAGCATATGTTACTCATAGTGTTAATATGCTGGCTTTTAAATTTAGAACCAGAACACAAGATGCTGATAGCAATAATTTGCTTGTGGAGTAATTTGCTGCAGTTTTTGCACATGTGCAATGACTCATAGTAAATTCTTGCTTGCCAGTACTTGGAAAGTGCATTAACCCTCCAAAAAAATGTTTTAGAAACTATCATGCTGAAAACTGAAAGCTTTAATTATAATTACTCTTTTTCATTTTCATCTTCCTTGAAAGTATTCTAATGCTATTGTAAGGGATACACAACTTTTCTATACTTGTAGCTATAAACTGCAGTTGCATTTTTTGATGAGCAGTACAAAACACTGGGTCACAATTTCCTGAGTAGAAAAGGCTGACTTGTTAGAATTTGCTATAAGAAGATCTTACAGCCAAAGATTGTCACTAACATCCACTTGAAAGTGCTCTAGTTATCAAGTTTTTCAGAAGCAAAAGTGAATTTGTTTTGCAAGTGTGCTGGCAGATATTGGTCTGTATCTGACTTCAAGTAATAATGAAGAGACTTGTTGCTATTACACATTTTGATTTACTAAAACATGCATTGAGATATATGCTTGCTATATATACTTTGAAGAAGTAGCTTTATGATTTTAGTGTATCTGACCTCTTCTCCAGCAATTGCTAATGGTTGTTCTTTTCTTAAAGATTTGGCTTAGGAAGCCTTTAAAAGGAGGGAAATTAAAAACCACTGTAAGATCTCTGGTTTTCATCTTTTTGCACTTCTCCTTATTGTGGGTTTATATGTAGGGATTTTTTTTCCCTTTTTTTTCCCCCTATGACTATTCTTTTCACTGAAGTTGTCACAGATAGCATTTCTTCAGGAGTCCTTCCTTCCTATACACAGCTGAGACAAGCCATCAGAAATACAAGCTGGTCCACTTTAATATTGTAGACTATGCACTGAAATCTCTCATAATTATGTAATTGGGAAAGAAATACTAACATAGAAAGAAACATATGCCTACATAAATACTTTAGAAGGGTAAAAACTGTGTTTGATTTAGGTTTTACAGCAGTGTTTGGTTTTGTATGTATGTTTCCCTACCAGGCACAAATAACATTTCCCTTATATGTCAAGCAGAATATTTTTACTCCAATGTAAATTGTTACTTTACAACATAATTGTTTGGTTGTTTTCTTTTGGTTTGGGGTTTTTTTTTT